CCACACCAACTCACAAATACCCACCCCCCCACACCTTTACAAAGCCCCACCCCCCCTCCACATAAATACCTGCATATATTTCTAAAGAAGGTTCAAATAATGTTATATTTAGTTTAATTGGTAAAAAAATAAGTGCATTCATTTATTTTGCATAATTTTGAATTCTCCTGGGCAAAATTCCCTGAGATGTAACAATACAGGGTGCTGACACTAACAACAGTGAATTAATATGGCAAAACAGAATATTTTGAAGGGGACAGGAAGGAGGATGCAGCCCTCCTGAAATTAAAGCCCCTCCGCCACTCATTCCATAGCTGGAGCGAGCTAAGTGCAAGGCAGAAAAAGCTATCCTTTCACCTCTAAACAAAAGTACTCAAAGAAATAAGCTCTGAATGGTGTTTACCACACACTAATCTTACTAAGCTATTGTGATACTCATCAATAATCACATTAACTTGATCAAGCAAGCAAGCAGGGCAAAAAAAATAATAAAATCTACATTTGATCATGCATACATTGCTGCTAATATAAAAAAAATAGCAAGTCAAAGACTGCAATTACCAGGTTCTCTCTAATACAGTATTTGTCAACCCATGGGTCGGGATCCAAAAGTGGGTTGCAAGAAAATTTCAAAGGGTCACGAGCTGTGGCAGGGCAAAGGGGCAATAGGAAGGTGCCTACCCCTTCCAATGGGGGAAGGGGGTCGGGGAGAGCTGCGCGGCTGAGCTGGAAGCAGCAGAGCTGGTGCCTATACTCCAAGCTGCCCTGCCCCTGTAAGACACGGGGGTGGGGGGAAGGAAGTGGCCATGATCAGACTGCCTGGTGTGGTGCAGCAGTTCCAGTCTAGGGCAGGTGGTACTGCCAGGCCTCTCGTTCTCCCTCCAGTCCATGCCAGGGCCGGACTCACTCCGCTGCTACCCCCACGAGCCAGGGTTGCCACAGACACCATGCTCTGGCCCGAGTGGGACTGGGGGGCAGCCAGGGTCCCTCCGGCAGTGCTGTGGGGGCAGGGGCTGTGCGTCAGGAGTGAGGGACATCAGCATGGCCGGGTGGGGGGAAATGAGGGACGATGGGGACAGACGGGACAGGAAAATGGGGGTCAGGAACCAGCAGGGCCAGGGGGTATGGGTTGGGACAGGCCACAGATCTTGGCAAATGGGCCCTGGTAGGAAAAAGGTTGAGAACCACTGCTCTAAGAGACTGCTGATCTGCTCTTTCATCTTCAAGGTGTCTAATGATAAACAGACTTCTCTTAAAAATGTTATAATGAAACAGGTAGCTCCTAGGGAACAAATTAGTGCACTCGTTATAAAAGACAGGACCAAACTCCCAGGGTTTGTGCATCATTCTTTTAAGCATACGATTACAAGTAATGGCTGACAAAAAGGAACTACAAATTCTTATCTATGCAGTCTAGCATACTTATCTACAGTTTGTTTACAAAATAGCTATAATTTACTGTAGTTTAATTCATCTGCATTTTTGGTACAGAAGTACTATTTTTGCTAGAAGTTACCCAAACTCAGGCAGAAGACAGTTCCAGGGTCCTTACTCAGCAAAGAACTTAAACATGCAGGTAGCTTTCAATAGGCTGCAAAGAGACTTAAGGATTTGCTTAACAGTAAGTAAATACCATGACCACCAACATGGTTTTCCTACTGGTAGGGGAAAACCATGAATGTGGGGGGGGGGGTAGTACCCTGACCGAGATAATCCATAATTATTCTCCAACTTTCACTTCCAGTGGCAGGATCTTGGCTATACGCTGACTTTATAGAAATGGGAGACTCCTCCCTAGCTTGCTCCTGCAGCCGTACAGTTGAGGGCAAGCGAAACTCTGGGGCATCTGAACCCCAAGCCTCCAGGCTTGGACCTGCACATGGGATGCCTGCCAAAGAATTTGGACGCATCTGAAGCTCCAGACAGAGGTGGAGGATACTAGCTGGCAGCAGGGCCACATAGTTCCATGTTTTTGGAACTGATTTGGCCGATTTGACTTGGGACACGAAAAATTTTCCTAAAAAAAGAAAAAATTAAAGAGTGCTTAACAATAAGCACAAGCTAAGATTCAAGTGCTGATCATGGCCTACACATGTATGTAAAGAAGTATAATACAAAATACCAGAAGAAATACAAAGGTCCTGTTACATTATTTTAAAATATCCATAGAGAGGACTCATTCCT